GAAAATAGATCTAGTCATGTTTATTTAAAAGAAAAAAATCGACGTCCTGAGGGGAATTGCGCAGTCATTTTAAATCATCACTGAAGGGTCTGAAGGAACAGATGTTTCAACTAGTTCAGATATTGCCTTGCCAAGAAATTGTGCAAACTTGTTTCCCACTTAATGCGCTGGAAATTGGAACACGACATGCGAAATGAAGACAGCGACATTTCGTTTGGCGCGTTAGAGAGCGAGTTTTAACCCGCGGAACGATCCCTGAATCTTTAATGATCGTTGCAAATTTAAATGCGCTTCCTCACATCGTCTCCCATTGTCCGTACCCGTGAATCCTGTTCACGCGCGGGATACGTTTAATGGACGGCGACGGATATATCAATAATGTCTCATAAATATTCCGCCATCGGTCGCTCGCGGTCGTTGAGTATGATCGTAGATCTCGTCCTCGAAACACGGTGTAAAAAGCGAGGGGAAAACGTATCACGTTGCGCCGGCAGTGGGACGAAAAGCTTATTACCCGGACAATAACGTCGCCTTAAATTTTCCCTAATGCCGCCGGTTCTTGGGTTTCTCACGCTTTTTGCGAAACAATAAGCTGCGCGCGAACCTGAGTAATATCCTTGCGCGGGTACCCTTCAATTACTCAACTTGTCGTGTGACACGCGAGGTCGCCTACCAACTCTCCCGCGCTGTTTTATGCCCGCATATTTGCCCGGCGAAACATTCGCCATAATTCCGCGATGTTTGATGGGCCCGATAGTGCGGGTAATCGCGAGAATTCTCCTCTCTCTCTCTCTCTCTCTCTCCCACTGCGCGACGCGACGTCGCAATATCCGGCGCGAAAAGCACGGGAGGAAGTGTGAGCGATCGCGAAAATGAGAATGAAAATGACGTTTGTTTATTTATCAAGAGGATCGCGCAAATTTGACGATTCATTAATACACACGAAGCATCAAATCTATGGAGAAGTGCATACGGGGTGTCTGAAAATTCCAGACATAGCCGTGGTGTGCAGGTAGAACGAAACTGAATGAAAAGGTCTTGTATCATTTTGCAAACAACCACGTAAAATATGGAGTTATATTAATTAAAAAAATATTAGCGAATGATTGGCGCTCGGTGAGGTACAGGTGTGACGATAAATACGACAAGTAGCCATTGTGTGTTTGTATATTTGGGTCAAACGAAGCAAAAATGTCTTCTACACGGGGAGAATACCATAGATTTTTTTCATGTAAATTATTATCGATTTGACTATAAATTATTTTCAATTTGTTTTTAATAGTCCAGAAATGGACTGTCAATATAGTCCACTCTGCTAAAAATACATATAAAATTCGTTAGAAATATAGAATATTTTTTAATAGCACATTTCAGTTCATAAAATATAAGCAAATAGAAGCGAGACGAAGTGATTGCGACAGAATGTCGATCAATTCCTCGGTTACAAAATTCTGTAGTAATTTCTATTATAAAATTCTCTTTCCATGAGAAACCTCCCGACATTATCCGACGGTGTAGTATATTTTGTTAAGGATAGAAAAAAGAAGGAGGAGAAAAAGAACACACACACACATAGAGAGAGAGAGAGAGAGAGAGAGAGAGAGAGAGAGAGAGAGAGAGAAGTGAAATATTAGTCGAATGAAGCGACATTGCGCGCGAGCTTCAAGTTCTTATATTAATTTCGCGAGGAAAGTTCGCGAGGAAATGTGCTCTCCAATAAGCGCGATCGTGTGTGTGTGTGGGGGTGTCCCGGGCAGAGCCGTTTTTAAACCCGGGTGAAAGTTCTGTATCGGATATTCGCGCGCTTCGTCGGCGAAGTTCCGCGTAAAACAAGCCGCCGCGGCGCTGATTAAAAATCTATTTGGAAATTTATTGGACGTGTAAAGAACAACTACTACCAGCCGCGCCCTCTTACCTTGTATACCGGTCGCGCTCGGGCCGAGTTTCTTCGTGATAGGCAGGTAATTAACGCGTTCTCTCGCCCTCGACAAAAATATCGCGACTTTACCAAGGCATATATATTTGCGCCGTGCACACCGTGCTCGATTTTTCCCGTTTCTCCCACCTCGCCGGTCTCTCGTCGAGCTTGCGACACTCTCGTCGTACCGTAACTTCAGCCTGTGTCAACTTGCACACACGGGGAAAGAGGAACCGGCTCCACTTGTCGCTCGCAGATTTCGTTCGGGAAACCTCGTTTCCGAGACTCCTGTCGACGAAATAATTGCGCCAAACGCCGGCGCGATCGCGCGCGTTCGTTGCCCTTTTAAAAAAAGAATCCCCAAGTTTTCGCGCGAAATATACTCCGCTCTCTCCCGTTTTAGACCTCTCGCCAACGTATTGACAACCGCGGGGGTTGAAAACTCGGCGCGTATCGACTCCTCGCGATTAAACGTTCGCTCGTCCGTCCGCTCGTCCATTTCGTTTCATCGGGAATCGCGCCACACGCCTCACGTCCGCGCGCTTTATCAACGATTGACTTCGTTAGCGGGGGGGACTTAATTTATTTGCGGACGAGCGCGATCGCGCGTTATTGCACTCGTTATAACGGCGAGTGAGATTCAACACCCGAAACGTCGTTGCTCGCTTTCATCGATCGGCAGGCCGGCCGGCCGGGCGGCGAAGCAACGTTGCGCGAGGAAATTGATAACGCCGACTCGCCGTTAATGTTAAGATTTTATCCCACCCTTCTCGACCGTTTCTCAACGTATAATAGCTCGCGCGCGGGGCACCCAATAATTATGATACCTTGATGTGCGGTGCGCTTGTTACAATTTTACGTGTTAATTCGCCATATAGAGAGTGCGCGAACTACACTTCGCGTCGTAATTTCAACGACAGACTCCCGGAGCAATATGAATGAAGAGCCAATTTTCCTTTGGCGAGAATGTCGGCGGAGGCAGGGGAAAGGAAGAGAAAGTTAGCCAACGCGTTTACTGCAACCTTCCAATTTTCAGCGTTGCGTATCCCCGTGGCCGAAGCTCAAATTCCATCGAGGTTAAGGTCTATATTTGAAATTAACCGGAAAACACGGTTTCGTTGTCTGTCGCTTCCGCGGACTTTCTCGTTCGCCGAGAGAGCGCGTCTCTCTTTCTCTCTCTCTCTCTCTCTCTCTCTCTCTCTCTCTCTCTCTCTCTCTCTTTCTCTTTCGATTACTCGTAACTCGGTGATTATAGACGCTGCGACATTTTCGCCGGGGAAAAATCGACTTTGAATTCATCGCGCGAAGTCCCGCGTACTAATCATCTCACTCAATTAACTCATCTCCCTCTCATTCTTCTCTTCTTACGAAGCACGTTAACTACTGATTTCGAGAGAGAGGGAGAGGGAAAAAAGAGAGAGAAGAATCATTTATTAAGCGTTATGGGCTTCTCTAACGCTATAAAGAAAATATACGGAAAAAGCTATATTATTTATAACAAAATAATATTCACAACGCAGTTATTTCATAGAAATGTGCGATTTATGCGTATTGTGGAAAGTGCAGTTTATGTGTATTGTGGAAAGCGCGGTTTATGTGTATTGTGGAAAATGCGAGTATACAGGGTGTTTCAGCTCGATTTCATAACTCTCGTACGCAGAGCGGATTGAGATGAACAAAAAATCTCATATCAAAGTTCCTTAGCATCTCAATTCAGTCTTGCGTCTCACCTCTACAATAACAACGAATAGAAAAATTAGTCTTAAATTCATTCCATGTCCTACACCTCTGATATTCGGTGGGAAAAGTTTTCCACAACTCTGCTCGGAGTAAGATCTGAAAGATTTCTTGAAAAGGGCAGACCTGCGCGCAGACGGTGCGAGCAGATCATCTGCAGCTGTTGTAGTATCTCCAGCCTTTATTGCTGTTCTTAGTTCACAATTGGTGTAGGTAAAAAGTCGGGATCGAATTGTGTTAGGGCATTATGAGGTAAACATCCCACAAAGTGTATGAGCTTCCGGTTCTAGGTGTAAACTTATCGAGTTTGTCGTAAAAAGGTGAAATGCGTAGAGTGTGTGAGGAGAGAGAGAGAGGTAGAGAGAGAAAGAGAGAGGGGGGACAAAGAGGGAAAGAAAGAACGAATAAACGCGATCGACGGTACGTGAAAATTTCGCACCCCTCGTACGTATCGCCTTTCGACGTCGCGTGCAATTTGCACGAGACGGGCACGTGCGCATACACGCATGGCTCGACGAGCACGGAAAGTTTCCAGCGCGACCTTTATGCTGGCGTGGTCGATATTCGTTTTAAAACCGAATTACGTACGACGAAGATAGTCGTCCCGTCGAATACTTCCGCTTAATTTAGTTCCGCGCGCTCGCCGAAAGAGGAAGAGAGAGAGAGAGAGAGAGAGAGAGAGAGGGGGGGAGAGATAGAGAGAAAGACAAAGAGAGAGGAGCCCCGCGAGAGATTCGCCGGCGGTCGATATCGCTGGCAAAATAACGCGGCACATGCATTAAAAGACGAAAATTCCATTATCCCGGCGGGAGAACTGTCCAAACAAAGAATCGATTCAGAGCGATCGGGTTAGTATCGAGACCCCCGGCCGGGTTCCTCACCCGTGTCCTCCTCCCTCCCGCCTCCCCTCGCTATCTCACTCTCTCTCCCTCATCGGCGCTAGTTTCCGTCCGCATTCGAACCGCAGGACTCGCCTCAATCGCTCGCGGTGCTTCCTTATCCGGCAGAAATCGATAAACGATATACGGCGACGTCGGGAATTATTTCGTTGCTGTATATCCGCGCACCGGGACGTCGGACGCGAAACGAATGAAAGAAAAGAAAAAGAAAAAGAGAACATAGGGAAGAAAGAAGAGAGAGGTACAGAGAGAGAGAGAGAGAGAGAGAGAGAGGGGGGAAGGGCGAAATAAAAAATAGACGAGAGGGAGAGAGGGATAAATGAGAGAACGACAGAGAACGAGTAGGAGATCACGGAGGGTAGAATGCGTCTGTGACGGACAGCAATAGCGCGAACGCGCTCCGAGGACCAATAACATCATATATAGATTGGGAAAGATCGACTTACCGTCTCCTTCTTCTTCCGCGCATTCTCGAGCACCGACTGGAACCAGGACCACTGGCCGAAGGGATCCTGCGTGTTATCGACCGTGGTGCTACCGGCGCGATGCAGCATACGGCTGTCGACCGGATTCAGCCACAAATTCGTATTAAGGAAGACGATCCGATACTTTTTCGAGCGCTGCTCGATCGTATAGTAGCCGGCTGCAACAAATTTTGAATAGCGCCGTGCCGGCGGTAAAGCCCGGGCGAATTTATGTCCGCCAATAAGCTTTACTTTGTGTGCCGTAACGTTTTCGAGGGGCTGCGAGGGGCTGCGAGGGGCTGCGAGGGGATGAGAGAGAGAGAGAGAGAGAGAGAGAGAGGGGGGAGGGAGAAAACGAGGTATACATAAATGTTGCATCGATCCGTTGCGCGTTTCGAAATCAAAGGCCGGCATGAGTTTCTCGTTCGCCGATCATTTATGCATCGTTCGGGACGGTAAGATCTCCGCCTCTTTCCGAACATTAATACATTACGGGATGCAACATTAAATGCATAATATCTTAGGTACACACTTATAACTGAAGATGGTGCACGGGATGGTAGTTGGGCTTTTGGCAGTACTTCCCTGAGTTACGTTGCGCACAGATAACAAGCCAAGAGGACTGTTCGACGCGATATTGTTACTTTGAAATCGGAACCGAACGAATTCCGCCCTGGACAAGCAACGGTAATTGAATGTAACGAATGACGGGAATTTAAAGCGATGCTGAAGTCCATGACGAACTCGAACAACGTCGATAACGTAGAAACGATCATCACTAACACAATCACATTATTCTTTTCGTATTTCTTGTACGTACAGAACTTTGTGTGTTGCTTTGTTTTATCATATCCAGCGCAAAACCCAGCCACGTATGTGTAGAAATTTTTCCACAAGAACTTCTTAAAAATTTTAATATTCATAAAATTCTTAATATTCTTAAAATTCAAATGCGAAAAGTTACAACAATGTTCTTCAAAATTTTTTTGTTTGGAGCATCTACACTTTCAGTGTATACAAGTTGCGGAACTTTTGGATCAGGCAAATATTTACGCTAATTGACGCTGAGATTTCACATTAAATTTTTTTTTTCGTTTTCGTCACATATTGAGCAATGCTCCTATTTGTTTTTGCACGTACTTTCATTGCGTAAAAACACTTGTAATTCTGTACAGCCAATACGACGTAGACTTTGCAGAGAAATGTGAGTATTCTGTCGGCAAAGTATTTCGGTTCAGCATTCCCTTAAAGATCGATTCAGCGGGAAATATGTTTTGTTTCAAAGCCGAATTTTTGTGTTTCCCAGTAATAAACAAATTTTTATTTTAATATACGCGCGTCGGGAGAATACATATACGAGTGAAATTTTACTCCCCGCGTTCGTTAAAATTTAATCGCGGGCGCGGCCAGAACAAACAAAGCGAGGCGTCATTACTGCAAAAGGATAATAGCTATTTTTTTCCCCCCTAGCTGGAGCATACATGTGCCGTCATTAATCCTGCATTTTTTAAGTATTTCAGAATTAACGAATTCGCTGCCGCGGGTATCAGCTTGCGCCCGGAATCATCGATACCTCGTCTATGTATCGTTCGCCGAAACATAGACCGGCACAGAGAAAACCGTTAACATAATAATAACGTAATAGCTGCAACGAGTAAACATTTGCCGCGAAGTGGCTTTTAAAGCTGAATGAAAATTTAATTGACGCTTAATGAGTAGTGGGAAACTGCTCAGGCGAGAAAGAGAGAGAGAAAGGGGAGGGAGCGGGAGGGACAGACCTCTCTAGGCAAGGGATAGAATTTCTGAGCACCGGTTGTAAACTACCGAAGTGGAGCGCCGTATTTCTACGAGTAGGGGACCAAGTAACCTCATTGAATTGCGCCTCATATATATCGAAGGCACTCATTCGAAATAATAACTCGCGCGGCTCCGCGCAAAAAATATGTCCTCTCGATAAATTTGCGCATACATTCGATATATAGTGCCGGCGATATCACCGAGAGCATCCATACGTCGAGCGCTGTCCGTCTTATTTCCTTTTTTATTTGAGCAAACCGCGCCCCAGCGGGCTTCAATAAGGCCCGGTTGTGCATCAACATTATTCAAGCGAGACATGTGTCTATCATTCTTTGTAAATATACGGAGAAAAAATATCTGAGCAATTTATTTGCGGGATGTTTACTTCTGCGAAATAAAGTATACTTGCGTGAAATAAAGTTTCTTTCTGCGACATAAACTTTTGTCCCACGAAAGTAAATTTTCAGGTAATTTTTTCTCAGTAAAGTATTTTATCTCAGCATTTCTTCTAAGTAAAGACAGACGTACGTCTCGCTTAAAGTCAAAATAACGTTGGTGCGATCGGGCTTAAGAGGACGATTCTTCCGGCTGGGATAACAGCGCTCTACGCCGGAAGGAGCAGGAAAGTGGAAAGTGTGGAATATAGCTCTGAAGCCGGCAAAAGCCCCTCGTGAACGGTACCGAGCACTGGCGTGCTTATGTACGTACCCTTCTCGAAGGTGTCGAGCGCCTCGGGCGGTAGCCACTGCTGCCAAAGAACCGCGAGCTGCGTGTAGCTGACGCCGATGTCCTCGTGGCCGAGCGCCGGGAACACGAATTGTCCCTTGAACGTGCGGGACAACAGATCGGTCAGATTCCGCAAACACTGCAGACGCAGCTCGACGCTCATGCCGGCGGTGCGCGTCAGCGCGTCACTGCAACAAGTAGTTACAGTCTCGTTAGTCCTAGTTACACAGAACGCGCGCGCGCGCGCACGCTGCTGGGGATTACAGAGCCGAGCGTCGCCCCGGTGATTATCGCTGATAAATACGACGAGGTAGTAGAGGAAATGTCGCGAAATAAGGACGCGTCGCGTCGTCGCGCGTCCCGTCGTTTCGCGTCGCGTCGTGTCGGCACGTGAGATGAAGCGGCGACGATGCGACGCAGCGAGGCAGCGAGGACGACGAGGATGAGGACGACGACAACGACGACAACAACGACCACGACGACGACGACGACGACGACGACGACGACGACGAGGGAATCGCGTACATGTTGTCAGCCGGGTGCGGGACGCTGATAATTGCCGTGTCAACGATAACTGATGGCTGATTAAGCCATCGCGTCGCGTCGCCTTTGCCGCCCCGACGACGACGAGGCAGATCGGGGAAAATTGCCGCGAAAAGGATAGCGCGTTCTGGAGGCATCAGCCTCCGCGCAAACTGCATAAACAATGGTGAAAGATGAGAGACTACTTTTCCTAAAGAGCAATTTGTGCGCCCGCGTCTCGGCAGAGGAAGAGGATCGACATCCTCCGTCGTCCTCCTCGTCAGCCACCTCGGTCGATCGCGTCCTTTAGAATTCGCGAAACACACTTATGTATCGGCCAGATGCGCACGTAATTCTGAGTAATTCTTCACGTTCCACGGTCCTTGATAATTGCACAGCGGCGCTAAGTGTCATCGCCCGTCGACGCAATTTATGCCGGTCAGCGGAACCGCACTCTTTCGCTTCCGGTAATTAATTGGAAGTCGCGCGCCTCTAACTAGTAAATCGGTCGTAAAGTAAATTTATTTAACGGTAATAAATTAAACACAACATAATACGCGCGTTATTAACTGAATTAACAAGTTACTGGCCGGCCAGGCCGGACTTTGTTTATAATTTTATCGATAATAAATGAAGCCTCGTGAATAAATTATAATACGTTAACGAATCATTTAGCAATCATTATTAACGACCGCGACGTATTATTTGACTATTATAAACTTGCGAAATATATTTTCATGAATTTCAAATGTGCAATATCCGGCTACTCCCCCCTCCCCCTCTCTTTCTCTCTTTCTTTCTGTTTCTCCCATTGAAAATGTGAATATAATATAGATTAACATGATAACAACAGTAAAATACTGATAACTGCAACACATTTCTATAGCATTTCCTCCGTAAGAATTTTGTTATTATTACAATAACAATTGTAATAATAACAGAATCCATTCCATTGCATTCATTCTGCGCGTTTATTCCACACAAAATGTTTCATACGTATGTTGTCACCTTTTTTCGGCTATTTAGATTGCGTTTAATTCCACCTGCAACGCTGAATTCTAACGCAATGTTACGCATGCGGCGCGCAGCAAAGGCTTTTATTTTTCTCTTCCGCAAATTTTGCAAAATCAAAGCTGTTTGAGGCCGTGTGATAGAAAGCCGGACGAGCTTTTGTCTTTCGACGTCAGATTCTTTTTCATTTTTGACATTCTCAGCTTTTATCTCACGATTGCATGCCCGCTTTTTTCCCGCTTTGAAATATTCTGAATAATTGCGACTAGCTATGCTTGCTGACGGTGTTGCCAACAATGTTGCAGATAATCCAAATAAACGATCGAGGCATACCTTCCGCGTTCGCCACATTCACGTGCGATCGTATCGAGCGAAAAGAATCTGAAATATCGAAAACTAAGACATTGAAGAAATCCGCAGGGGTTTGATTTTCGGGGTGAAACGGATCGCGCGCGGAACGCGGCGTACTTCTGAGGATGGATCGCACAATCGTGAGGTATTAAACAAATCCCTGCGAGCCGGAAGAAATCACGTACAATCATAAATTGCGTGTGTACTGCACGCGTCGGCAAGCCGCGAAAACGAAAAGAAAGAAGTCAGAGTTGACCTCCGCGATCTGGTATACGAGGTCTGTCCGGAAAGACCTATACGCTATACGAAGAGAAAGAGCTACTCTGAATCAATGGCGATTATGTCCCCTTCAAAGTATTCTCCTTTGGAAGCCACAACCTTCCCCCAGAGCTGCTACCATTTGCTGAAGCAGTCCTAGAATTCATCTGGAATTCAGCTTTTGGAATATCCAGCAGTTACCTCGTTTCATTCGGTTTTATGTCCTTCAAATCTCTTCTCTTTTAAGGGGGGTTTTTTTTTTAAACAGTCAAAAGTCGCACGGAGCTGTATCAGGAGGCTAACGAACTTGGAAAATGTCGTATCTCGAATTTTCGTGGAACGAATTTTGCGACGACGCGGCTCATCCTCAGATCTTGGGTTAAAATTTCAGGAACAATGGAACAATGGAAATTTCATGGAACAATTTTTTGGAATTCCAAGGTTTTTTTCTAACTCTCGCAAAGGACGATTTTCATTGATTGCAATTCGCACGCATTCACATTTTGTTTGGCCAAACGTTGCCAGAACGAGGATTACTTTCCACTGAAATGCGGTCATCTTTGAATTGTCTAGAACACACCTTGACTTGTATTTCAATCATATATTTCTCTCCATAAATCTCACGAGTCTGATCGTTTCCGAACACGCATGACCAAACTTTTGGCAAACTTTTATATAAATTTGTTGCTCGACGCGTTTGGTCAGAAACGCTCACGGCTTTGGACACTTACAACTGCGTTGTCGACTGAAGTACTGGAAGGTCGTGTCACTTGACAGGGACACTCACAAAGGTTCCCTCTAAATGGAGAATACTCGTATCCTACAATAGCAAACTCAGATACAGAGATATATTGGCATAGGTCGGATACTTTCCGAACAGATTTCGTACTGGCGCTGGGAGAAAGTTATCTGACGTATTTACCCTTTGCTTTCATCCACATTTCTAAGATCCATTCGTTCGAAATACAGCGGCGCACAGTGGTGGACGGATAAGAAGTGGAAGAAGGAGAGGAAAGTGCACGTCGACCAGATGACTGAACACAGAGACACGGGTGGCAAACAGGATATTCGCGTCCATGACTTTCTCGGGTGCGATTAAAAGATTGCTCCCGGGAAACAGTTAGACGAATTCGCGAGAAATATCCGCACGGGACACGAGGACACAATCGCGCGTGAAAAATCGTCCACTAACTCACCCCGTCCACAGGACGAACTCGATACCCTCGCCGTGCTTCGATCTCATAGCTCGCGCCGCCGATTCGATGAGGGCCCAAGGCGAGTCGCAGTTGTAGTCGCCGAACTCGCCCGCCAGTTTCCTGTCGAGCCTTATCCGTCCGCTGTCGGCGGTTTTCGTGTTCCAACACACTGAAACACACGAGTTTGGTAAACGAGGGCCGCGCACGAGAGACCAGCGCATCGATGAGCGACTAACGAATGCGGCGGAGCCGCGAAAAAGATAAAGCGGCGATCGTGGGAAGCCGCGAGCTGCAGAATGCACAGAAAGGGAGTTGCGAAGTGCTCGCGCGACATGCACCGGCGTTATCCGAATAAACTTTTCACTCGAAAAAGAAGGTTTCGAACGAATTTCCCTTCAACTTGGCGAATAACATTAATGTTATTTACGGGAAACAAATCAGGTTGCGATCGAACAAAAATTTCGTATGAATAAAGATTTTCTTCGAGCTCTTGAGGAAGAAGCGCTGATGAAGGAATATTTTTTTTTCATTGAGAGCAAAGTCGTGTGCCGTACAGAGAAGATATACATATATATATATATGTGTGTATATTATTAGCTTAAACTATATCAGGCGTTGCCCGGGTCTCTTATATCTAGGACATCTAAACTTAAATTATCACAAAGTGTCAAGAGGGATGAAATCAGCGGATGAAGTATCTAGGTTTCACATACACATAGTAGCCTATATTTTCCATAAAGATCGAGAGAATAAATTATGTACAATTTAGTCTAGATTGACCAGAGAATTTAGGAGTTTAGGAGATTATAAAGAATATACAGACAGAGAGAGACAGACATTCTTTTATATATAGTTTTTTTTCATATGAATTTCCAATTTTAGTATATTTCTCTCTCTCTCTCTCTCTCTCTTTCTCTCTAATAGTGCAGGAATAGTCAACCTTTCAGTAAGATCTGTTTTGCTAAGAAATATAATAAATTTTATTAGAAACATAGCCAATTTTGTTAAAAATACAGCAAATTTTTTAATGGCACATTTCAGTTCTCAAAATATCAGCAACACACATGAGATGAAAGCCATAGTCATTTGCAGCAAAATACCTTTCTATTCGTCGGTTACAGAATTCTATAGCAATGTCTGCTATAAAATTCTCTCCGTGTAGATTTCAAGATTACGTCCACGCAAATTATTTACCTATTGTTTACGTGATGTGTACATACATACACACAGTCTGTTCTCATTTAGACAATGTAGAATTGTGACGAATATAGTAAATTATAATAGAATATTGTAAATTGTATTAAGGTAGTTGTTTCCCAACTACCTTCCCAACATATTTAACACACATACGTATTAATACCTAAATTAATTTTGCTACAAGTTTCAAGAAAATCTGTCTTCACTGTTTTTGACCAAACTACTTTAATACATACCGAAAAAAGTAATTAAATTACGAGACACAGTTGACACAGTGACGCTGTTTTGAGTATTAATCGTAAATGCATAAAAAAGATAACAAATTGTGTAAAATTTTCATTTGATTATATGACAGATTTAATTCTGAAAGTAAGGATGTTACCATGAAAAAATTCTAACTTGTCTAGGAAACAAAGAAATTCAGAAATTTACATCAGGATTCTAAAGGTAAAACGAGAACTTCCCTTAGGTAATTCTTGAGCGAGATATGCCTTCTTTAAATGGCATCTATAGGCTACTCATCGTTTACGTAGATGACATCTCACATATGTAGTTTGTCTTGTTCACATGCATACGGATGTAGAGTATCATAATTTATGGGTGAACGCTCAATCCTGGCGAGCGATTTTCTTAGGAGATTCGCTAATCGACGATCGATAACATTCGATTTTATCCGCCGTGAGAGTGCTCGTGAGTAGAAAGGAAGTTCGCTCATGCAAATTCTCTCATACGGCCGTGTGTGAAAATAAATGCCCGTTCTTTATCAAGGAATATCAAATCACAAAGTTTTAATCGCGTTCTTTTTATCTCGTTATTCGAAATAAAACTTGCCCGACTCCCTGTCGCGCGCGCGTGCTTAACTCGGACTCGCGTCGTCCGGTTAACGTCCGAATGACACGAGGCCGAGAGGGCAACGGGGATGGGAGTAAGTCGAAGGGGGGGAGGTGGAGGGAGGGCAGGCGGTGTGGTAATTTAAGCGGCTGCTATTTCATGCAAGTCTCGTGCCGGCTAGACACGCCAGGTACTTTAAAACGATCGGTAAATACCAGCGCGGGAGGCCAGTAAATAGCGGTTTCGCCTTCCTGTTAGCGGAATGACAATAATTCGTTCGTGCGATCGTCAGAAAATGAAATGTATAACGATCCGGAGGCGTGTATTATACTTGTTAAAGCTTGGGACTTGATCGCGAGTCAATTCGGGGGCGCGCTCGCGAAACGACGGGAGAAAAAGTTCCACGCGAGCTAATCTCGTCCCTCCCCGAAGTGAGATATCGGCGATTTAACGTGGAGAAATTAGAGGGGACGGGGCAAGTAATGAATAAGTAACTTGAGTGTGCGTACATACACACACACACACACATACACACGGGAATGCGCGCACGACAGTCGTGGAATAAATAATCGGCGCGTCATGAAGCCTCTCGGCGCGCGGAGAGAGAATTTTTGCGAAATTACCTAATAATGACTTTAAGGAATTTTCGCCAAGCGCGCGGCCAAGTTTATCGCACCTGGCAACACCCCCGCACCGCGGCCGTGGTTCGCCGAGGCTCGGGTTTCGCATCGGGAGGTCGATCACGTATTTCCCTCCCTCTCTTTAAGAGCGAAAAAGTGAAAAGTGAAAACTTTCACGCGAATTTCGCAAAATCGCGATCACGTAACCTGTTTCGGGAGGAAGAGGGGACGGGCGGAGAGAGACGAGACGATGAGATTTGATAGAATGAGATTCGCGTGAGCGATTGGACGAGATTTGAAATTGGATTGGGATAAAATGTGAAAAAAATTCGCCAACAATTACGCGATCAAGCTCCGCGAGTTCGACGTCGCACTCTATATATGAGACTCTACACACACACACACACACACACATATATATATATATATATATATATATATATATATATATATATATATATATATATATATTGGTCCGGAGTCGAATAAAATCGGTTCCAAGTGTAGCTTCGAGAGGCTGCATTTCGGCTCGTAAATCTGTAAATGGATGCGTGCGAAGAAACGTGGCGACTCGAGAGTTCGTTCTTGCGACCGACTCTTTTTGGACATTATCCAAGTGCGTTTCCCGAGTCGACATTTTGTGATCCTACTTTCGACTTTAAGATTCCACTTCCTTAAGATCCTACTTTCGACCTTAAGATTTCCTTATTTACTTTGATATACTCTGAAATCTACATCAACTTCTTTAGACTCTATTTAACTCACTAACTTTGTCAGAAAACTTAAAAGCCAACTTACAAAACAACGCCAAAGAGAACTTCAGTTTACATGTGTACTAAACATAGATTGATTCTTCAGAATATATAGAAAATAAAAGATTTAAATCGAGAATGCGGCTAAAATTTTGATTCGAGACCGTAAATTGGGAAGAAATTCCGGAATTTTAATCCTACTTTTGACCAATATTTTATTTAATGTCTACTTTGATATTTTTAAATATTTTTTCATCCCATTTTAACTCAATTTTTTCTCATTCCATTTAACTCTGTTAAGAAATCTTTTTTAGAACCTACAAGTAGCATTTTGTGCTCTTTTTTGTTGTTTAAAAGCGCCAAATAGGACTTCAGTTTTCATGTGTATTAAACATAGACTGATTCTTCAGAATATACAGATAATAAAAGGTTCGGATTGAGAGTACGGCTAAAATGTTGACGCGAGATCCTAACCTAGACAGAAATCCCGAAATTTTGATTTTACCACTGACCTTAATATTCTATTTGGCGTCTAATACCCTGAAATCTACGTCAACCTCTTTTCTCATTCCATTTAACCCACTAATTTCACCAAGATGTCTTTTTTGGAACCTACAAATAGCATGTTGTTCGTATTCTGTTATTTCGAAACGCCAAATAGTTTCCATGTACATTAAAGGTACATTAATTCTTCGGAATGTACAGATATTGAAAAGTATGATTCAAGTAAATAGTGGGATTAAAATTTCGACTCGGGTCGCCACACGTGATTAGAAGCGACCGCTCAGTCTCGAGATGGAGTCAAGAGATCACACCGTCTCTCGTCTGGCGCGAAACCGCGACGGAGAATCCCCGCGAGGGCGGAATGCGTTTACTTACTGGTGGCGGTGTTTCCTTGCGTGGAATACTTCGGGTCGTAATGGATGTCGGTGATATGCCAGAAATAGCCTGCAACACGAAAACTTAATCGCGCCGGTAAACAACGAAGTAGCGGAGTGCGCCAAATCGCATTAAGTGCCGTCCCGAAATCAATTCTAAAACGTTCAATATTAGACGAGCACACGTGCCGGCACACTTAATTACGAATCGAGCGCACGGTCCGCCGGCCCCGATTGAGATTCGAGATCGCATATCTCGAAAAGGACGACACACAGACGTGACGCAAAATAAAACTAGCCCGCTCGTCAGCGCGGTGCAAAAATGTCAAACACCATCGCTGTTTATTAAGGGGTTTAGTTTACATGCTCAAAAGCCCGCTGTTTTTATAGTTTTTTTTTTAATAAACAGATTTTTTGCATCTCGTAAAGTTTGCTCCCGAACCGACGTGTAAGCTTGTCGAAATAACCCAGGGATTAAAACCGGTAGAATATCGGTGAGTTCAATTTTCGCTGCCGTAGATATGGAAAAAAATGTATCTCACGCCAATTGCTGCGCTGCCATTGTCGCAAATAAACATAGAGATCATTTTCGCGTGTCTACACTAAAAAAAAACGAGAAAGAGTGAGAGAGAGAGAGAGAGAGAGAGAGAGAGAGAGAGAGAGAGAGAGAGAGAGAGAGAGAGAGAGA